TATCATACTGATCATTATGTCCTTATATTTCATTCATCATGTTCTTCCAACTTAGGCAAATAGGGAGTCAGAAATAAAAATTGCCTGCGTGAATAGTCAAATTGGGTGCATAGTTAAGGAGTGAAAATAGATTTAAAGGCTCCAAAATGCATTCTTATTTGCTAACGCTTCACTTTTCCTAAAAAACTCAACCTGAAAGGAGTTATATGGAACAGGGGTGGATTTTGAAGCTTATGGCTAATAGAGGCAACTGATTAATTTTACTGATAGGAATTAGTGAGACTGACCATTTCATTAGGACTAGTTTTAAAAGGTGGAATCATGCATTTAATACTTATATGAAGTAAAGGCTGAGGCATTTGTCCCTTATGGAGAAAGTAATAGAATTTCAGGCACAAAAAGTATGAATTATGGTAGGTAATTATCTGAATTTTCTTTTAAACTGGAGCGTAAGGTTAAATACAGGCGATTTATTACAACTTGGCAGAATACTAAAAAACGGCACAAATTACAATTATTTACATGAGGGAGCCCAATTTGGGAAAGGTTGAAGTACAACAGGATGGACGAGACCTGCCGATTGCAATTAAGCAAAATAATAGGCACTTATTCTATAACAAGTTTTCGAAGATCTCGATAATCCATTCCTGTATTATCGTCCATTTTCGTTTTATGTGGTAAACGCGCCTCTGAATCTGTGGGTGGTGGCCCTTGGTTGAGTGAAAGGATTTCATCTTTGGAGGTTGGCAGAGTCAAAGTCGAGTCACCAGTCTCTCGGTTATCTTCAGATAGAGGATTTTCGTTTGGAGGGGCCAGGGCCAGGATGCGACGAAGTGAATCAGCTGGAAGTTGGCCAACATATTCGACACCCTGAATGTAGAGGTGAGGCAGCTTATCCTCAAGCAGAAGACTGACAAGTTCTCTATGCTCGAGTAGAGGATTATCATCCAGAGACAAGTATCGAAGATTCCTATAAAAGTGATAATGAGCTAGCTACATCTTGAGTTTTAGGTAAAATCGTCTGACAAAATATCCTGGATTTTAGGAAAAAAATGGAATGTGGAGCCGGGCTCATCGATGCTCGAACTAAAATAATACAGTGCTTCGATGAAGAGACAGGGTCGCAGCGCTTCATATTTAGTGTCAAATTTTACATTGGCTGCTGGAAAAATTGGGGTTCAAATCAGTATAAACGCAGAAACGAGTATCGTATCGATAAATACACATAATCAGTATAGCGATTTGTTCATCTGGATAATTTATATCAGTTCATAAAGGTGTATGGACAGGACAAATTTTGTTCATTTCAGAAATTCAAAAATGGATAGTTCTCTAGATTGTAATATTGGGCTGTATGATGTCATTCAGTTGAGCTTTAGTGGCATCAATAGGGCTTTAGAGAAATAAGACTTGAAATGAGCAAATACGTTTTGGGGTTAAATTATATATGAACAAGAAGTTTGAAACCAAGAGGCGGATAGACCAATTTTTGGTGAACTCCAAACAAAATAATCGCTTAGCAAGATTATATACGTGAGAGTGAAATAAGCAATAAACTGCAATATTAAGAATATGGTTAATTACCTGAGGTGGCTCAGTGAGGCTAAACCGTTAGCCGTAATTTTAGGGCATTCGCTTAAATCAAGAAAGCTGAGGCTGGCGATACGTCCAACACGAGACAAGCAGAAGTCATCAACATAGCCACACCTTCGGAGGCGGAGATGAAGAAGTCCGGTGAGATTAGCTGAAACCCATTTAGATTATAGACTAAGTGCTAAGATGAAATTAATATGAAGAATATCGCAATAAATAAGCACGCATAAAAGCACGTCAAGAGATTGCTTAAAGGTGAGATAATTCAGAATTAAAATAGCTCCACATAAATTCATAAAATGTATGGCGAATGAGTTACATAAGACCGGTGTCGAAACTATCGAGGGATCCGATTCAAAAGCAAAGCTATGCTATCAATCAGTTGAAACCTTAAGCGAAACAAAAATATACTGCAAAAGCAAGGTCATAGTAATCACAGTAGTTAAATCGAAGATGTATTACATATAAATCGAAATGTAAGAGATACTTAGTTAAAAAATGTTGCGTAATAAATAACAAAAACGCCATCGGTACCCCTAATAAACTACGGGCATGCTAAGTGCCACAGCATAG